GAAAATTACCTATCGTTTTATTTGAGCCTTCCATAACATGTAGTTTATAACTTACGTACACAACTATTTTTCATAATATTATTCAGACAATTTAAGGTGGAAGCGCCACTCAGGGTATAGTATTACTGAAGGGAATTGCTCTAAAGACGTAAAGAGCTGACGAAGAGATGTATATGTAAGGTTGACAAAGTTTGATTTTAGATTTGAAGAGTTTAAATTGATTGAAGATCAGAATACCGATGTAATGAATATTTATTTCAACAAGTCTTTCTCAATATATAACATAAGGAAATCGTTCCATCAGTATTCTGTTCTTCAAAATTAAATTTATTTTCATTATGGTCTGTATCAAATTCTTCAAACCATCTTCATGCATCGATTAACTTTCGATTTTCTCACCATTGTTAAAGTTTTCTTTTTGTTACCAGTTTTTATTTTAAATCATCTTCATGACAGACATGTTCATCCCATCGTATTCCCAGCATCCCTTTATTTAATCCTTTTAGACCACGAAAGGTAATAAAGTTACTAAGACGCAAGGGGATACTGAGTATGAGAAGAGATTTCCACAAAGTAGAGACACGAGAGAGAAAACTGTTAGCATAGAACTTACAGTTACATCTGACCGTTTCAATTGTAAAATGATAAGACCTTGCTGCCAATCTAGAAGGTGGTCCGAAAGTCTTGTCAACATCTCCTAAAAAGTTATGAAAACAATAGAAAAACGAGTAATACAGTAATACGGAGCACATGTACTGAATTCAGTTTATTCATTTCCGTCGACGCTGTCACACATCGAGAAGGTCTGTATGAACGCCATCATTTTCGTGACACAAAATGATTCGGCGCCATGTCCTCTGTGATATTTTACGAAGCTATGCTTTGCTGATTGTTGCAAAGGCTCTCCGAACAGCGCCCTTCAGCTCCTCCGTATTCTTGTATCGTTCATGTGAAACTCTCTTCTTGGCCTTGCCAGAATGTATACGGCCATGTGTCCATACACTTCCAAGCAGCCTCTCTTCCAAACTGTAGGAGCTCGTGTCAGCCATCTGAAATAGAAAATTATAAATGGCTGGTGGACCGATTTTAAACGTGAATTAAGTTTAAGCGTCTAATGATTATTTTCTTTTTCTTTCAGATTTAACAACTTGAGACACTGGTAATATCAACCAGGGAAAGATTAACAATCAAACGACATGATAAATTTATCGAAGCCTATTACGAAAATGGACTTTCAAACAGAAACGCAATGAGAAGTTCCCATGTAGCATCATCTCTCGAAACAGGGAAATCAGTTGACCATTACAATCGTGCGACTTGACACCTTTAGATTTCTTCCTTTCGGGGTCATCTCAAAAGGAAGGTCTATACCAACAGGCCAACTACAATTCACCAGCTGAAGGATGAGATAATAAGGCACATTAGTGAGATCGAGGAGCAAATATGCAGACACGTCATCAAAAATTTTGACCATCGAGTAGAGCTGTGTTGCCGAAGCCTTGGCGTACATTTGGGTGATATTATATTTCACACATAATTGCTATGACTTAAATATCATGATCCAATAGAGAAACAAATACATTTTAACCACTAACACAGATTTATTTACTTCTGACCTTAATCCATCTTAATGAAACACCCGTATTAAGTAGGGGTGACAAGACTTTCAGACCATCCTGTAGTACTGCGCTGAAATTCGTGAAGTCTTCGTACCAAAGAACAATTTCTATGAAAATATTTATAGAAAAGGCAGAGCGAAGCTACATTATGGCGCTGGTTAAGTGACTGTAGCTGTAGTTTTTTTTTTAATAAGTGTTGTTATTGTAATATTAATATTAATTATTATTATTATCATAATTAAAATAATAATTATATATAATATGTAATTTTACTATTATAAATAATAATAATAATAATAATAATAATAATAATAATAATAATAATAATAATAATGAAAGCAGCACCACCACTATATATCTCTTTCCACAAGTTTCTCCTCGTCAATGAGGAAACTGTACGAAAACCAGTGCCGTCAAGAGGATTAATGATAAAGAGGCGATCAATACTCTTTTTCCTGTTTCTAACGAACTGCACCTCTTCCTAAAAACTTACTTTATTTTCTGAATAGGGCAACCCACATGCGTTCGACGCAACAACAACAAAAAAAGCTAAAGATAATATAATATTCCGTGAGATACTGTCGGCGTAAACCGCCTTCGTGCGGGCGGGAAATGAATTGAGGAAGGATAAAAAATAGAAAGGGACATAAGAGGAGGGCGTGTCTTCTTATTGAACCTAGCCTGCAAGATGTCTTTGGAAAACAAAGATTTATTATCGGTGAACAAAATCGTAACAACATAAGATACGTAGTCGATGCGAAACGCGAAAGAAAACTACAAAGAACTGTGAGGAAGATAGTAAAAGAAAGCGATAAAGAATGACTAATCATTTATTGTAATATAGATTGGTTATCAGACAGACCAAGATGCGATCTACGAATTTCAAATCCACGAACTCCTCACTCCTCTTGAAAAATCGTTCTGGGGATAACGACAAACTACATCTGGCAGCAACGCCTCTAACTTGGTTTTGAAGAAAAATTTCCATCTAGAGTTTTCATTTTCTCGACGAGAAGGATGCATTTTATAAAGCATTTATTTTTTTTCTGTTAATAGTACATTTTACTTGTGAATATGCGATGTAGGTATCTTCTTCATTGAATACTTCACCCTTGTGCAAAGTAATTAAAACAAAACGAATAATTCTATTATTATTTACTTTTTTGTATTTTTTCAATAAAATATGACCCAGTGAATATATTATTACTTCGTATGTCCATTCCACGAATTCGTTCCTTGCAGATTGACCACAGATTCTCGATTGGATTTAAAACAGGGAAATTTCCGGGTAGTCTAGTAATTTGATTTGCTCACTAGTAAGGTATGGCAGTGCCATCAAGCAGCGTTAGAAATTTTCGTACACTCACTTGGAGTAACGCCCATCGGAGACAATGGTCGTAGGACAATTAATCGATAGTCGGGACATTAGTGCATGGGCGTGATAAAAATCTGATGCAATCACGGATGACGCGATATATTTCAAGGCCAAACAAAATACATCACACATCCTGAAAACAGATTCACATTACTGCACACCACTGCAAATTACCTAATCAGAGGAAAAATAGACATTTACACCCTGTCACTCCAGTGGATCTAAAACTGACCGTACAGTGAAAGAAAGGAAACTAAAGCGGTTGTTTCAATTAATTTGCACATGGATATAGGATGCTTATCAACAGAGACAGACCAAGAGGAGATCTACGAATTCTGAATCCACGAGCTCTATCATTTTCTGCAATCGTTTAAAAGGACAATACCACCCCGGATGCATTTTATGAAGCATTAATATTTTTCTATTAATAATATATTTTATTTATGAGTATGAGATGTAGGTATGTTCTTCATTGATTACTTGAAGTTAATTACGTTCGATATTTTTAGTGAATCTACATTTTTATAAATCCGTTTTAGAGTGATCTATCAAAACCCGTCCTGGGTATGACGATAAACTACATCCGGCAGCGAGGCCACTTATCGAGAGATTTTGAGCATCGTGTAACCACCTCTTAATTTCTGTTGTTCTCAGGATCCACCAGACTTGGGGTGAACCTACAAACAAAAATCGACAGTAATAAAATGAGCAACAATACGTTTTCATAATAAAATGTCAATCAATGCAACAGTGTATATATATATATATATATATATATATATATATATATATATAAAAGTCTACATTGAAGTCAACACTCAGAGGTGACAGACTGTTTTATGATAGACGCAATCGATAGGCGGCCTGACGATTGCGTCTAGTATGAAACAGCCTATCACCTTGACATATTGACTTCAATTTTAATTATATTTACATACGCTCTATCTCTGATATTGGGCACTTTATCCCATAAATATAGCAAAACTTTAAACTATATCCTTCATATATATATATATATATATATATATATATATATATATAAAACAGTTTATATTTATTATTTTCAGGAAAAACTATATATGTATTTTCAACAAGAATTTTAATAAATGTAGTCAGACATGCTGTTATAAATTTTGAGAGACGTTAGATGCAACATTCAAATGAAAATGCAACGTTCCATACAAACTTAGCTTAATAAAGACATTTAGAAATTGTTCGGAATTACGAGAGGATTCTAGAAAAATAAGTATACAAAACTTGTGCAAATTATTTAATGAGGCCTGTCTTAATATATATATATATATATATATATATATATATATATATATATATATAGTGTGTGTGTGTGTATTTAGGCAGCATTTTTTCATTCATACATGTTTCATTAAATAATATAGACAACTGTTGTCTATTTATTTTATGTAAATTCTTTTCATAACGTCTGATAAGTTTAATAACATTATCATTAAAAGAAGAAAGAAAATCACAATATTGATACATATTTTTTAATCCAATCTAAGCTTTAGTCTTACATAAGACATTATCAAAGATGACAATTACTGTACAGTATATTAAGCAATACACGGACAAGAATGTGATGATCAGTAAGTCTGTTTTTGTTTACATGGATGATTTCTATGCAACGATAAACATGTACGTATAAGACGCTGGAAGCGAAAATCGCACCGCAGCTCATGACGCCACACATGAGCACGCGAGTGTGAATTCGAGAAGTATTAAGTATGGGAAGCTGTTAGTATAAACCAATGGCTTCTGTTACCAATTATATACATTTAAGAATATTTGTGGAGATTTCGTAGTTTATTTTGTTCCGTTTAGGTTTCAACTCTTTTATGTATAACGGCTTGTCTGTATTTTTTAATGAAATATATATATATATATATATATATATATATATATATAAACACCTTACACAATGGTTTTTGCAAGTAAATGAATGTAACAGTTTCTCAATCTAAGAGTTAGAGACATTGAATCAAGGAGGCTTACAGCCATATCAAGTTGAAACACCGGTTCTCGCCCGATCAGGAAGGTTAAGATAGTTTGAGGCGGTCAGTATTTAGATGGGTGACCGCTTTGAAATATCAGGTGCTGTACACTTGGATGTGCCGGTAGTGTAATGGATAACGGCTCAGAATGTGGAAGCAGGGGACCAAGTTCAAATTCCCGTCCGGTTCGTTATATTCACTTAAGTGAAAATAGTACTAGGAAAGGTATGAATCTTCTCCTCCCAGCTATGGGTAAAATAGTAGTCCAATCATTATTATCTCCAAAAACGTTTTTATAATACAAAAATGATTGGGTTTTAATAACCTTAAAATGTTGATATGTCGTAAAAGCAAATAGAATCAAAATGAAGCAAAGACAGAAATATAACTATATGGGAATCGTTGTAACAAAGGAAGGACAATGTGGCAGAGAAATCCGAAGGAGCATTGTAATAGCGAATGATAGCTACTTATAATTATATCTTTTTCATTAGTTACATATATCCTGTGCAAATTTTGGGGTTATCTGCCCTTTCAGTCGCCCGATAACTTGTCCTATTAAATGCTTATAATTATATCTTTTTCTTTAGTTACATATATTCTGTGCAAATTTTGGGGTTATCTGCCCTTTCAGTCGCCCGATACCTTCTCCTATTATCTGCAAGTTTTGATCTTGTTTTTTTCCGCCTGAGAAGTTTCTGTGCTGCTCGCTTTCAGGCTTTCTTTAAGGTGTTCCACTTTGAGTTTCTGACCTGTTCTTCAATTTCATAAGCTAGGCTGTGTTTGTTTGCAAATGGAATCGATTTTAGCCAGCATTGCTCTTAAGGCATTACTCCGGGCTTCCTGAATTTTTTTTTTATTGCTATCCGTATTTTGCCTATAAATTCGAGGCGTTCACTCACACTGTCAACACTTGGCTATGTTTTACAGTTCAAAACAAAATTTCTGATGGTTAAGTCGTCTATCTTGCTTTTAATCTCCCCTTCCGGTTTTTTTTTTCATTTACGGTATAGGATGTGTTGTTCTTCACACCAGTTGGTTATTATTTGATCATTCACTGTATAACAATAAACTCTTTTTTTATATTTCTAGTTCTATATTTACTATTTTGTTAACTTTTAACTTTGCATTAGTTCACTCCATGATAATTATAATTTCTTATTAGAATTCTTTTTTCTTTTTAGAATGTTTTTTTATTGATCACTTTTTTATTAGTACTTTAACATCTTCCCGGACGTAAACGTGTATATACGTTTTTACAGAAAGTGTCTTTTTCTGACATAGACGAATAAACACGTCAAAAACATAACGTCTAATAACCAGCTACAGAAGTATTTATACGTCGATCTTGTTTCTTTTTATGCCCTTATGAGCTTAGAACAGTCCAATTATACGTCTGATAGAGTTGTCAGTCACCCTTCCTGTACTGCAAGGTGCCTCAGTTTCTTAGTTCTTTTTAACGCGTCGTATCCTTTCAGGACTTAGGCAATCATGGTTCTCCACTTTCCCCTATCCTCGTGCCACCTCCCCCAGATCACATTCTGCCATCCACTTGTTTAAGCCCGCCAGGTATGCCATGCGTTGCTTTTCCTTGTCTCTTTTTTCCTTTATTCGTCCTGTGAGTATCAGATTCTCCAGGCCCTCCTTTCTCATTTTTTTTAAACATGTACTGTTAGTAATATTTTCTTTTTACAAATGTATTGCTTGTAATTTTTTTCCAAAGAAGTATTCTTGGTAATATTTTTTTCAAAAATGTATTGCTGGTAATGGTGTATTGCTGGTAATAATATTTTTCATTGAAATCTTCATTGCCAGTAATAATTTTTCACAAATATTTATTGCTGTTATTAAAACCTATTATTATATTTTCATAGAGCTTGGCTTCGTCTGGTGGTAAGGCACACTGGGCTAAACGGTGGATCCCTCTGAGCTGAGTGACGCAGGTTCAATTCCTGCCCAAGAGCACAAATATTTTTTTTAATAAGATGTCTCGGACATTCAGGCCGGTAGATGAAAATAAATAAATATACTGTTTAATATCTACGGTGTATCAATAATATTTTTTACAAACTTTGGGGTCGAGTTCCACAAACTAAAGCAAGGACAAAAGTCCCTATAGACATATGTCTGCAAATCATTCGGTTTCGTGTTATTAAGTTTAAAATTTACGTTAGACGGTGTTAAGTGTACAATCCAAGATACAATCCAAAGCTACTAATTACCATAGTTTTTGGTGCCACGGATCCTGTCTCGGCAACGCGATGATAAGCAGCAGCAAAGGTTGGACGACTCGGCTTCCTTCGATCTGGAAACACAATCTGATACAACCGTGCAGACTCGCGTCCATTACCATTCACGTGGACCTTTGTAAAAATGTTATCTATCTGCTCACGACATGAATATCCTGTCATTGCTGAACGGGACACGTCTTCGTTAAGTCACTACTACTCAAGTTAAATGTTGAGGACAGTCTAGCCATTAATTTAAAGCTACTAATTTTGGGGTGGTAAATATTGTCAGGTCATACCACCCCGAATAAGGTATTGATAACAACTTCTGGCGTGCTGGTTGGTTAATTTTCTCAGTTTGATTTTCATAGGGTTCCGCATAATTGGTTTACTATTGTTGTGGTAGGATCCACCTATTTTGCATAGTTGAGTACCGACCATATAAATATGGTTGGTACCGGGAAGAGAGGGAGGAATCAAAAGATTCAACCAGAGACTCTGCCCGACTGCGACTCAGTCAACACATTCTCCAGGAACGGTCTTACCAGGAATATACAAAAGACTATATGTAAATATTGTGTACACTTTCTTGTTTCAATACATTTTGTTCTAAGTACATTTTGTGTTGCATTATTATTCCATGCATTAGTCAAGTTTCAACAACTATTTCCTAGTAATCTTAGTGAAATAATTAATAAAACTGTGATGATCTTCTGTCGTCTAGCTGCTGCTTAATAAATAATCAATGCATAAGATGAGAATACTTTATCGAAAATCATAATTGATTTATGAGTTAAATTAATATAGTTTCCTTCATAATATAGTTTCCTTCATTTGTGCTCATCTACGTTTTATAAATCGTTGATAAAAGTGCCGACAGTAACTACAATGAAATAATGGCGGTTACAGGTTTGTTTAGAGTTAGTTGAAAAGATATATTTTGTTTTGGTTTATAATGAGACAAAAAGTAGACATAAGTTTTGTTTCAATTTAGTAAAAAGCTAAACGTATGACAACCGATAAGCATAGATCCAATTTCAACTTGATAAGAAAGGTTGGCAGTGAGGTTCAAGTAAAGACATGTCCGGTTTCGACCTGTTTCAAAAGAGAGTGATCCCGTTTACACTTGATTCAAAAGGTAGACCTCAACCTAATTTAGACTTTTTCAAAAGGAATAGTTTCAGTTTAGACATCATTCTTCCGACCCTTCTAATTACCGTCCTCCTATCACTCTCCTACCACTCTTCGGCAAAGACTTTGAAGCTTTAATCAACGCCGAAGTTGTTATGCACTTTACATCCCATAATCTGCTCTCTGACAAGCAATGTGGTCTCCCCTTTGCCAGTTCTACAGTTGCCTTGCTTACGGCCTTAACTGAAATTGTCTACCAAGCACTTCATAATAACGGAGAAACTTGTGCTATGGCTCTAGATATCTCCAAAGCGTTTGATAGGGTTTGGCATGATGACCTTCTTAGCAAGCTTCAGGGTTATGGGATTACAGGTCGATTGTTCGACTTAATACAATCATTCCTGTCAAACCGTGTCCTGAATGTTGTTCTCAACGGATTCTACTCCGGCTCCTATCCTATGAACGCAGGTGTTCCCCAAAGCTCTATTCTAGGCTCTACTCTGTTCTTATCTTCAATAACGATCTTCCTGATGTCATAAGTTCCCAAGTAGGCATCTATGCGGACGACACGACTATTTACTCCTGCCTCAAAAACAAATCTAGTATCGCCGACAAATCTAACCTGTTCGTTTGTCTCGAAAAAGACCTCCAATCGTTTGTGGACTCGGGCAGGAATTGGCTTGTTAACATTAATGCCTCAAAAACAAAACTGCTCCCAATTACTCACCACAGAGAACCATTCCTGCCCCCCCCCATTAGAATGTTTGACGCTCAAATCCACGAGAGCAGCTCTTTGCGCTGCTCGGTCACACATTGTCCGCTGACCTGAGATGCAACGAATACATTGAGTCAATGGCTTCGTCCACCGCGAGGAAAGTTGGCTCCCTGTGCCGCGCCAGGAAATTTTTCTCGTCGGAGTCAATCCTTCAGATCTACATATCAACCATTCGCCTCTGCATGGAGTATTGCTGCCATATATGGTCTGGAGCCCCTTCTATTTGTCTCAAGGTCCTTGATAAAATCCAAAGACGGATATGCAATGTCATTTGGCCCTGATCTGGCATCTCGTCTGCAGTCACTCTCTCACAGACATGCCATCGCCTCCCTCTGTCTTTTTTTTTACAAATACTTCCACAGTAACTGCTCCGATGAGCTGCTTTCACTAGTTCCCTGACTTCATGAATTTAAGCCTTCAACTAGGCTGGCATCTCGCTCTCACCCTTTCACTGTCAAAACTGCTCCATGTAGCCGTCTCTTCTACTCCAATAACTTATTGTCTCGCACTTCTCGCCTGTGGAACTCCTTCCCCATTTCCTGTTTCCCTGATATCTATAACCTCCAACTATTCAAATGTAATGTCAATCGACGTCTCAAGATGCCCCCGATCTATACCCTATCCTTCTCTTCATCCTTTCCTCTATCACTCCTCTTTGCTCTCGCTCCAACTCTCTGTAACTCCATTTGTGCTAGTGGCTTCCCGCCTTGATTGGGGTTGAATGCTTAAAAAAAATTCCAATGAGAAAGCTAGGCCCAGTTAGGAAGAGTTAGGTTCAATTCAGCATTGATTCAAAATATACACCTAGTTCGAGTTTAGACTTGATTCAATATGTAGCGAGCGGTCTAATTTAAACTTAATTTAAATGGAAGGTAGAAGCTCTGGTTTAGTTTCAATTCATTAAAAGGATAAACAAATTTCCAGTTGGGATTTGATTTAAATATGTATACAAAATTCTTGTTTAGACTTGATATA